AAGCTGGCAGCGTAAATAAATTCCATCCAGCACGTTGCAGAGATAAAAGTGGTGTTTTTTTTTTTTTAGTGTGAGACAGATCTGGATCTGTTGACGTGTGTGAAGCTACACTGCTACCAGCCAAAAGGGAGAGCTAGCTGCTCTCCGCCATCTGCTTCCCGGGCGTGATGGATGTAAGGTCACATTCGCCTTCGTTTGTTTTACAGCGCCACCGTTTGACCCATAGTCTCGCTTTATATGCTTTTTTTTTATTGATTGATTTATTTGATTTTCTGTTCGCTTTTTATGGAGTGATTATACGGACGTGCGGCTCATAGCTTCAGATCAATTATATTTCAGTGTATTATGTGTACTAAAATTATTGGATGGAAGAGAACAGAAATAAAATACCCTTTTAAAAATAAATGCAGCAACCTTTCCTCATACTTCTGCTGTACTCTTAGGTACCCAGACTATGAGATGGATGGATGGATAGATAGATAGATAGATAGATAGATAGATAGAAGAAAGAAAGAAAAAGAAAGAAAGAAAGAAACCCACGCATGTCATATGTGAACATAAAAATATAAATGACAACATACAATATATACAACGATATTAAAGAAAATGTATGGACTCAGGACACGTCCATTTATACATATATATATATATACGTATGTACATAGATATAGATATTGATATAGATATAGACATAGCTATAGATATATATATATACACACACACACACACACATACACACACAGATTTAGCATCTATATCTTTGTGGGGACTCTCCACATACACACAGCAGCATTACTGCCAAACCTTGGTGCCAGTTCTGTAAAACGCCACCACTCTCGCCCAATTAGTGCTCGTCACACCAGAGCTTCGGTCTGATCCCATTCGCTCACAATATGGAGGGTTTGATAACTTGGAAAGATCCAAAAGCAAAAAATTAAAAAATCAGTCCGTGGGCACAGAAATGCTGCATGGAGGGCTTCTCGTTCCAGCTGGCAACCCTCCATCACCGCGGTTCACATGGACCAGACCACCCCCCCTCCAGTACTGTCACCCACGCATCAACCCCAAATGACATAAAATAATGGCATAAAAGACCTGTTTATCCAGCATCCAGTCATTGAGGATCTTAAACTGGGTCCTATCTCTGGTGCTAATGGATGGTCACGTGACGCATGCTGTTTAGCCTGTACCCCACATGGGATGCAGTGCGTGCAGGGGCTCAGATCTGGTGGGGAGATGGCTCACTGGATGTGCACTGGATGTGCACTGGATGTGCACACCTGGCCCATTCATCACCGTCGCTTCACAAAGGGATCCCTGACGGGGTGAGCGAGGAAGCAAGAGTGTGTGTCTGTTTGTGTGTGCGTGCTTCTTTGTTTGTTTTACAGGGGGCGCGGGAGTGACTTCACAAACAGTCAGCGGCTCACACCGCTTACGAAGCGTGCATGCATTGTGCATGACAACAGGCAAGAATGTGCAGGTCTTCCACTTGCGTCCATTCGCACTTTCTTAGGGGACTGTTGCAGACTGTCAGCAACTGCGAATTGCTGCACAAAGACAGCACTTTGCCGAGATCGCTCTACATTCTCACAAAGCTACAGTTTATTAAATTTTCGCGTTTTAAATGGTGTAATAAAATTATTTTAATAGGTTTTCATATGGAGAAGGCCAAAGGAAAGATGATTATTAAAGCTCATTGTATGTTATTGTGTATCCCAGTGACTGCAGGTAATAGAATACGCTGACAGTATAAGATGCTTGTTTCTAAGGAACGATGTTGAGCACTGTGGAAATCATAACGAGATGTGTCCTACAGAAGTGGCATCCTGTAAGGGGCAGACGAGGGTCTGGGTCCCATGTGACAAGGATGAGCTGTTTCAAGATGGATGGATGGATGGATGGATGGATAGATGGATGGATGTGTCATATAGGCCTGCTCTGAACATAATGACTTTTCCTACATCTTCCGGTTTCTATGTATTCAGACATGAAGCCAAATTAAGCATTTTGCAATTATCTGCGTAAATTCCCCCATCCATCCATCCGTCCATCCATTTTCCTACTGCTTATACAGTCCAGCGTGAAAGGGGATCAAAATCTGAAAGCGCAAATCGCATGAAAAAGAGAATGAGTAGCTAAGCGTGTGGTATCGCCTACTTAGTCCCATTAACGGTGAGGGCAGGGAAAGCGGAGAGAGGTCTCCTCTATGGGGAAATAACATTCAGCAGAACCATCTAACTGGGCACAATGGGAGTGAAACTGTCCTACTTGGAATTGCTCTTGGGGCACAAAGTATGACTCTTTCTGCTGATGTGGGAGAACAGGCCCTGTCTCCAGAAACACCCCTGCACTGGGTACTCCACTGGCCCTTATATTGCACTGTATCCCCCCCCCCATTTCACTGGCGTCTGTCACAGTGAGGAAGCTGGCTATCGTAATCATACAAGATGACCGCACTGTCGTTCATATTGACCTTGTCATTGGATGCCTGGATTTAGATGCCAACTGTATCCCCCCCCCCAACCCAAGAGGCGTCATTCATGTGAACAGCTCACTGCGCTCCTGCCAACCTGGCATATGGAATTCTGGGAAATCCCACAGAGTTTTTTTTTTTCTCAAATACTCAGGCAACAGAAGATAGCCATTTTCTCTGTGGCCTTCAGATAAAGAGCAGCAGACTGAGTGTGAGTCAGGCTTTCTTCCTGTACTCTCTCCCCACGTTATCAGGGCAGCGGTAATCACCGCAGTGATGTCATGTAAGCGCTGGCTTTAGGTTCGGCAGTGCTCCTCTTCCCGTTGCTTTACAATGCGGCTGACTTGTCTTCACTTTCTGTTGTAATGGTTGCTTCAGGGTGCTGTTTCTTTAGATAGGAAAATAAAAAGGCATTGTGGTGAATTTATGTTCTATAATTTTTCTTTATTTCCTTTTAAATTGGCGAAGTCTATCCTGCACTATAATTCCTTTGAGTCACGCTAAACCAAAAGGCGCATGTTCTCGCCGTAATCGGCGCCTAAGCTGATTTCTTTGGACTTTCGAAATATGTTAATTTCAAGTGCTTGTCTGTGAGCATGAGATATGCTTTTTTCCATTTGCAGCCCTTTGTTATTCTTGCTTGGAATCACACAACACAAATTTAACTCGGGGCAATAGAAGTTATTGTCTTTATTAGCAGAAGAAGGAAAATAGCAACAAATTAACGCATTTTACAGCCAGATCGGACTTGTGCAGATGCTGCTCGAAAACACTCGACATGTCTTGCCATGCGAGGTAAAAAAAAAAAAAAAAAAGCTACTCGTGTTAGACTCCTGTTAAACCATGTATAAATTTGTTTACTTTTGTGATTGAGGCTTTTAACCATGTCAGAAAATAATGCAGCCTAATTTTTAAAAAAAATCACAATTCATTCACGGCTGTATCATCGAAAAGCAATAATACACGACCGGCTTCCATAAGGGAGATACGCGAACCCCACGTTATATTCGTCACATTGGCTGTTAGAGGGTGTAAATGCATCCGTGTTTGCAATCCGAGGATGCTGCCCACTCGCAGTCCGTTATGTGTTAGGTAACCGCACACAATTTTAAAAATTAAAAGGAAAAGCAATATTGCCCTCAAGTGGGCATTTTAAAAATGTGACTCTCCTTTTGATAATCAGTATACGTGCTTTCTGTAATTCAGAATAGCTCGGATGTATTACAAACCACTTTAGATATAATCATGTGATTTGACATTTTTAGAACTCTGCAATCAGCGCTGACAGGTTTCCAATCTATGCATGTAAACGACGAGCGCTCGCGGAAGCAGGTTGTTAGTACCGTAGCCACGAATTCGAGGGTCGCGGTTACTAGTCCCCCCCCCCTCCCCCGCCCAGCCTCAATGTGTAAGTGTGGCGTTTGCATTTTCTCCTAGTGTTCCTCCGGGTTCCGCCTTAACTTTAAATACCTAGAGGCATTTGGAGATGGTGACTCCCCATCGGTCAATAGGCATCAGGCAATAGCGAACACGAGACTAAGGTACAGCCTGGACAGGCAGCCAGTTCATTAAAGCACATACACAATCTTGCTCTATGCCCCCCTATTCCAAATCCAGGCCTTGTTTTCAGTTCTCCCAGGTAGTTAGTTTAACAATGACTGATTCTGATTGGTCAGAGGCTTCACACCTGGCTCACAGGTAAAGGAAGGCTGGAAAACCAGCAGTGCTCGGACCTCGAGGACCGTGATTTGAACAGCCCTGCTCCTATGGGCGTTTTAGAGACATTCGTTATCCTAACTGCATGTCCACGTGACACAAGGAAAACAGGAGGCGGAATTCGAACCCACAACCCTGGGTGTGTGAAGCAACATTCACAAACCATCGTTTTAAAGGCGGACTTTGAGAAGAACTTGTGTTATTGTGCATATTTCTACAATCTAGTTTAGTGTTTTTGTTTCCGTGATCAGAATAGCGTCAAAGATTATATAATTAAGAGCTATGAGTTTAAAGCTGCTTCTCCATGCTGCCAATCATTCGGATGCGACAGAATAAATATCTCAAGAAGAATGAATTATTCATAAACAAGAAGAGTCAAGCACTTAAGGCTGTATAAGTATGCAATTGAGTCAAAATGAATATGAAGAGTGAGACACCTAGCGGAGAAATTAGGTAAAAATCAAGTACGTGCTGCGTACGGGGGCATTTTAATTTAATTTCAGTTAATTATTATAACTCAACTCCTAACAGCTTGTGTGTGAAGAGGAAACAGCAAAGCAGATTTCATACAATGAAGACAGTGAATCACAGTGAATGAAGTCTCTCCTGATTAACTATACCACGCACACTTCCGTGTTGTGCATTGCCGACATGCCATTAAAAATCTTTTAAAATACATAGACATCAAAGTGTATTCGAAGTTGCAATTTGAAAAAAACAAATTGTAAAATACACGTTAACCAGTCTAATCAGTGTTTTGGAACATAAGGACAGTCACGGCTTCTAAAAAGCAAACGTGTGATTGAAGTCAAGGAATTGCAGTCATATGACACCAGTCAGCTGGTTCAGCATGAGGAAATCCGCGATTCACCGCTCTGCTTTGTTTAAAGGGGTGTTACTACCGGTATATACGCACTTTTAATGTTTACCTTGGGGTTTTAATTCATTTGTATACCGTTAAATACCGACGGGCATGTCGATCAGAAGTATCCAAAGCGTGGTTCTGATTTTAGCGACTTTATTCGGCTTACTGTGCTGTCACAGTAACACTGATCCCGAGGATACTTTAGGTAAATCTTCTACGTTGTTGCATCTGCTTCCCACTTCGCAGTATTTGCGCTGAAGTCGTGGGGATCACCGGCGTTTTGTCTTGCAGGAGTCGGAGACCATGCCGATGCTGGGTACGAGTCCGTCCGATACCTGCTTACGGGCAATTCGACAAACGCTACCAGCCTGACATACGGATTCATCGCATGCGCGATCTCTGTCACTTTTTACGGGAGCAATTTTGTTCCTGTGAAGAAGATCCACACGGGAGATGGTAAGGATCATCTTGGATGGATATGAATTTCTGGTTCTTATACAAGTTGGTATAACTATAATTTATAGCTGTATAGATTTACAGACTATAACAACCACCGTGGTCGGAAGTGTCTTATTTGTCAACATCTCCCTGTCTAAATGGATCAACATTGTTGACGATTTTTAATACCTGTTGGCCAGGCATGTTTTTCCAGTGGGTCCTTTGCGCGGCTATTTGGACCGTGTCCCTGATCGTGAACTTGATTCTCAATTGCCCCAAATTCTGGCCCCTGGCAATGTTGGGAGGTGCCATCTGGGCAACCGGTAAGGCTGTTTCTGTGCCTACAGGTGGCATTTTAAGAACGTGGTCTGGCGTCACATAATTCAGTGTGTCTGTATATATGCTGTTACAGGAAACATCACTGTGGTGCCAATACTGAAAACCATTGGCCTCGGACTGGGCATCTTGATTTGGGGGTCCTTTAATTTACTCATGGGTTGGGCGAGTTCTAGGTATGCTATATGTTTGTGAGATTTTTTTATTAATGCATTCCTGTAATAGATTAAAATGTTATTAAATTACTGTTTGTAACATTTTCCTTCCTCCCCAGGTTTGGCTGGTTTGGAATTGATCCAGAGGAAGTGGCTAAACCAGTACTGAACTATTGTGGTGCAGGTTTATGTTTACTCAGGTATTAAGGATTGGTAGGTGTCGATGCTAACCGAATGTTAGCAGATTTGCTAAGACATATGGAGATTCTACCTGTTGACTTAGATTTGTGTTTTGAGGTAAAATCCCTCGATTTTAAGGACAATGAGTGAACAAGGCATCTCTAACAACTCTCACTGCATCAGTATTACGAACATTTTAATTTTTCTTCACCCATCGATTTTACATGACATTACATGACATGCCTGCATTATTCTTGAATGACTGTTACATCACATCTCCACCGCTGGATACATGACTAAATTAATCCTGTGTCTGTTTTGTCTTCCCTTTTAGTGCAATAACATTCTTCTTTGTCAAAAGCGAAGGTGGCACACCGTCGGCCTCAGAGGAAACGCCGTTGTTGATTAACAGTGTAAGTGTGGCGATCGTCTACAGGGACATGTCACTATTTGTGGATTCCTGTAAACTAGGGCTGCATGATATCACAGCACTATATGTGACATTTCTGCCAGTAACATTGCGATATAAAACAAAGAGACGTGTCAACAGACATGGGCGACAAATGCGATGTGATAATCGCGCATGCACACAATAGCGCTAATCGCGCATGCACACAATAGCGCAGCCCTACTCTAAACTTAACTTTTAAAATTATTATTTTCCCGTATGTCATTCTGCACGCTCTTTAAACATAAGTGTTATTCTGTGTCATGCCTTTATTGTGTCTCCATTTGGAAATGCGAAAGGTGTTTGTGACGGACACCTTTTCTCATACTAAAGCTGACTTTTGAAATTTCATCCTCGATGGAGCAGTAGCGTAACGGCAGACTTTGTTGAATTTGCTTAGCTACTGTAGGTCAGCAACGAATAGCTGGTAGTACTGTTGAACGTTTTGAGTTCTCCATTGAATTCCCTGCAACTAGCTTATTTTTCATAAGATTGATATTCTGTAAAAAATAAATAAATAAATAAAATTCACTTGTGTTATATGAATTTTTCTGTAATTGATGTACACTTCATGAGAGATACATATTTCAATAGTTTTTTTCTCATTCACATAGAGAATATGTACTAAATTACATCATCATTGTTGCAGCACAGGCTTTGTCTGGAATTCTGAAAATTGCAATGGGTTTCTGTGAGAGCATTAAATCTTAGTGTATTTATCTGTGATTTGACATCATATCCCGTTCCACATTCGCAGAGAAGCAATTCTGATGGTCTGGGAGCCACAGATGAGTCATGGGTAGACCGTCTTTCTCCGAAGATGAAGAGAATCCTGTATGTACCCATTTGCCCATTAATCCATTGTGTGAAAGACAAAATGGCTGTTTCTGAAAGCGGGGTTAATTTAATCAGCGTACAGCTAATCCGAGTTAGCCTCATCAAAATTCAACCTGACTTCTAAATGAAATCAGCTTAAAATGGTCTGGTCCTGCTTTTCTTTGATAAATAATCATGCAAAACTATGTCTTTTTCTTACTAAAGCTGTGTGTGAAGTTGCATCTTTGACAACTCAAGTAAAACATTCAGACTTTAGCATTTAGAGCCCAATGGATGGTTTTGTGAGCCTTTGCCTCAGACCTTGGGGAGATAGTCTTTTTATTTCAGTGAAATAAACGTTAAATGAGCCACATTAGGTATGGGGATTTGTCTGAAATGTTAAAATGACATTGTCATTTCGGCAGTCATACATGTATATGATTATCGATCAAGGTTAGTAGCTATAAACAGAGTTGGGTAATTCAGGTCCAGAGAGCAGGATTTTGTTTCAACCAACCAGCTGAGTACTCTGCATCGGGAATGTGCAGACTTAGCCCACTGGCTGACGTGGAATAATACACACATCTGTCATAAGACCTGAGGAGCCTTTATTGTCATTGTAAAAAGTAAAAAAAAAAAAAACAATGAAATTCTGACTTTCATGTACAAGAGAAAGGCAGGTATCTGGACAAGAGCAGAGATAATTATCAAGAAAGCACAGTTTGCGAGAATATAAATAAAATAAATTATGAGTTGAAATTAATTAAAATTATGACTGAAATGGGTTAAGGAAATATTCATCAGGTAGAAACAACAGGTAGGAAAATTTGGAACAATTTTTTTTTAGAATCTGTGTGCTTCCTCTGAGGTCCTCTCATCGTGTCGGTGTTTGACGGTGGTTACGTGTTTAATGACCCCTGCGGCCTTCTGTACGTGTTATGTCCCCGCCTAGCGGCTCAGGACTTGCCGCTGTTGCCGGGCTGCTGTACGGCTCCTCGTTTGTGCCGGTGCTTTACATAAAGAACCACGGGGCGCGGAAGGCAGCCGGATTCGTCGGGGCCAGTCAGTTCGGTGAGACTGCGTCTCGTGGCTTTAGCGTAATTAGCCATTGCCGAATGAATGATCGTGAGGCATTTGTCAATGAGGCCCTTTATTAACAAGCTTCTGTTTGGCCTGAGTTTTCGTTTCGCCTGTTTCGCAGACCTCGACTACGTCTTCGCACAGTTCAGTGGCATATTTCTCACGAGCACAGTATATCTCCTCATTTACTGCGCTATTATGAAGAATAAACCTCAAGTTTACTCTAAAGCCATACTGCCAGGTAAGTGACTGTTAACGCAAAAGCCTGCCTCAGTCTGCCTCAGCCTGCCTCAGTTTATGGGGAGACTCTACACGAGTCACGTTGCTGTTCCCAGCATGCACTATTCCTTAACAATCTGTATTTGGGCTTCATTCTCCTTTTTTTCCACCACTTTCTTCATTTCGGTGATACTGCCGCTGTTGCATAAAGTCTGCTCCACTAACCACATGTCAGTAGATTTGAGGTTTAGTTACCAATTGTCCATTAACCCTTAAGGACCCACAGTGACACTGGTGTCACCGCCCCTTTACAACTTACAACCCCCGTAATTTTCATGAAAGTAGAAATAGGTCTGGGTTCTTAAGGGTTAAATACGCCCACCTTACTTCCATAAAGATATTAACCCTTAAGAACCCAGACCTATTTCTACTTTCATGAAAATTACGGGGGTTGTAAGTTGTAAAGGGGCGGTGACACCAGTGTCACTGTGGGTCCTTAAGGGTTAAATAAAGATAGTAATTAGTTTCTATAGGTTCACCTCAATAGCATTTTAATAACGGGGTTAATGCCGCAAAGCCTGATGGGGAAAACAGACATTAGTGTGTATTGTCACAGATTGTCAGAAAAATAGAATACAGTTTGTGTTTTTGCTTGACAGTGGGGCTCTACCGTCAAGCGTCTGCCAATTGTACCCTTAGCTGTAGGTAATTGTACTTTTTAAGGTACATAAATGGACTGAGGAAGATCTCCAAGGTACAAACAACATGAATGTACCACCACTTGGTACAAAAACATTCCTCAGAGTCCATGACTGTACCTTAAAAGGTACAATTAGCTACAGTTAGGGGTACAATTGGCAGCTCCTTGAGGGTACAGCCCCACTGACAAGAAATTGTACCCTCAGAGGTACAAATTGTTACTTTTTTTCTGACAGTGCATGTGCTGCAACGGCCGTGTCTGAGTCGCGAGCGTTTCTGTCACCTCAGGGTTCGTGTCTGGCATCATGTGGGGCGTGGCCACGTGCTGCTGGTTCCTGGCCAATGACTACCTCAGCGCTGTCGTCAGCTTTCCCATCATCACCGCCGTAAGTAGCTCCAGGGGGCGCCATTCCCACTAATGGCACTAACATGCTGGCTTTGAAATAGGAGCACAAGTGTGATATCGCATGCGGTCAATTCCAGACTGGTGTAACCGATTGCCCATTGGTTAACATTGGGTTAAACCCTACAGCGACTGACAGTCAATGGTAATGTTAGCTGCTAGGTGTTTCAAATCTTCATTTTTTCTCACACAATACTGAGATTTTTAAGCAATTCATATGACTTTCATAAGGTTTAGCACCAGTGCAGAAAGATAAGCAAATTGCAAAATATGCAACACATTCTTCCTTTTGTTACACACCTGTTTAGCTGCTGTCCCAAATGGTCAGCTCTTCTGAGCTTTATTGGATAGTCCAGTCCAGTCCAGAAAGTAAAAAAATCCAGGCCAAGATTTTGTTTCGACCAACCAGTTGAGCATAAGTCACAGTCACTCAACTGGTTGGTTGAAGCAAAATCCTGGATTTAGCGAGTAACAGGATAGTCATACAGCAACTGCTGTGACATGTACCTGAAGTGAGTGGAAGAGAAGCTGCTCTTCAACCAGTGTTTAGTTGGCTTGTTAATGACTTTTTTATGAACTCTATATATGTTTAGATTAAACTGCCTTTGGTGCACATTTCACTAATGCAATATGGCTTAGTTATAATTTTTATTTTATTACAGTTTTGCCAAAGCGTGAAATGGAGAAGCGCAGTATTATATGCACCGATCCAAATAATTGAATATTTTCTGTTTGCTGTAAAGTTTTTCCTACTGTTAATAAATAATTTGTTTTATTAGTATTCTTATAAAAGTTTTTTTTTTTTTTTATGTTGCTATTATCCAGAGAGACTTCCAAGAATTCTGTCATAATACAATTTGTAAAGTTACATTGTATTGTAGCAAAACACACCATATAAAGAAGCATGCAAGCCAGTGAATTGCATTACGTAATAAAATTGTGGTTTGTAGGGGTCTAACGCAAGTGGACAATGGCCTGAGCATACGAGGGTTACAGAAATGTAGGATTTTTTTGAATTTGAACAAAATTCACGATACTATGCTTTTATATGCACTGATACGAAGCAAACTCCAAACCAGTGTGACCCACAAAGTTTCTACCATCCAGGATGCAGGCATTCTTTTAATTACCATTTGGACCATTTTAGTCCCCTCTGGGCCTGTGTGGTATGCTGTGAGTTAAGCGTCAGCAGTTTGCGCCGTCCCAATTTCAATAAATCTTACGTGACTTTTCCCTGTCTGTAATGTGACAGTTTAAAACCCATCAAAAATGAAGAGTAACAGGATTGATGAACGACACAAATTGTCGTTATCACACATTTTCACGTTATTAACCGCGACGCTGTCCGCCTCCACAGGGTCCCGGGTTTATAGCTGCTGTTTGGGGAGTTCTCGTTTTCAAGGAGGTGAAAGTAAGTGCCTGTAACGACATTTATATCATGTTTCTATGTTTCTACTAGAGTAATACTCATCCATGTTGGCTGCAAATGCATGCAGTGTTTTTATAGGGATATCAAAAATTATTATTAGTAGTAGTATCATAAATGGTCATGATGTAAACTTTTTCTTGTTCCTGAACTGTATGGATCACATTTTAAAAATTTCAAAGTCCAGTTATTACTGATATAATGACAGACACTGCTCTGCAAAGCCATTTTGGACATCCCAGTGAGCCGCGATGTTAGCCTATTGCTAATGTTGCGAAAGCCTTCAATTAGCGCAAACCGTTTCCCAGCAGCCGGTGTGCGTGGGGCCTGATTAGCACTTTCATAGCAGAAATGCAGAATTCTCTCGCTGGATTATGGAGACGACTGCTAGTGCAGCCAATTATCCATAAATGAAGCTGAGGTTAAATTTCTAACGGGTCATTAGGCAGACTGATAAAGTTTGGGTTTTCATAACACAAAAGAGAATTCTGCACAAAATATCATTTTAAGGAAGTGAGCCTGTTTTACCCTAATTCAGTGTTTCCTAGTCCGGTCCTCGGGGACCCGCAGACGGTCCACATTTTTGCTTCCGTTTGTTATTCCCCAGTAGGGTGCTGGGAGGGAGCAAAAACGTGGACCGTGGGTTAATTGAGGACCAGGTTAAGAAACACTGTTCTAATTTTTCTCTCTTAATTCTACTCCACAGGGATTACGAAACTGTTTAATTCTGGCCCTGGCTTTCTGTATTGTTCTTGCCGGCGCCCTGCTGACTGCGTTTTCCAAAGTATGAGTCCACCTGCGGTTGTTTCCACCACTAGGGGGAGCCATTGGATAGTCTTATTGTGAAAAGTCACCGAACAAGAACGGCACAATTTGAAGTACGAGTTTACAATTACTGAAGTATAATAAACTGTTCCTCATCTTTGTTATTGCCCTTAACTGGATTAACTACATTTCCCAGTATGCTTTTTACCACTCAGTTGTTTAATTAAGCTGTTACGTGAATACAAGCACTTAATCCACTTCTGAATTTATATTCTGTACACAACCTAAATCAAGTTTATCCGTGGGAGGTGTATATAATATTAGAAATAGATTTTACCTAATATCAGCAACACAGGGTGATTATAATTTTCATATTTCTTCATATTGTTGACACTAAACATGCAACAGCTTGTTTTTTCCATTTAAAATGCCCACAATCTGTAAAACCTCCACATTCTATGAGCTCTGACGGTAACACTGTTACTCCTCTGTGTATGAAGTACGTGCAGAAATTCAGAACCGTTTCGCTGCCCTTCCACCTTTTCCTTTGCTATCATTTTTTTGCCACACTTTCTACAAAAGTACGGGTAGGGTTTGGCAGTGGGTAAGCGATTCACAGGTCACCTAGGAAACCAAAATGCTTTATATATTGCCGCTGTTTTTCTCCTGGGAAATTTAGAAAATTGGATTTTAAAGGGACAGTGTACCTAAATCCCATGGAGTGGAGCTCGTGCGTAATGCGAAATGCTGCCTGTTTTGTTTTTCAGTGCAATATGGACCAGTATAACGTTCGTTCTCCTGCTGTGCTGGTATACATTTACTACTGTTTTTTATAGGTATAAGGGGTATTACAGATTTTGATTTAATTAACCCTTTAGGACTGGTATAATAAAGTATAGATATAAGAATTTCTATTTTTTTTACCTGGTAGCTGGCATTTGATAATTTTGGGATCAAGGGAAATTGTTGATTAATGTGTCACTGTCTGTAAATTATATATGTAAATCTGCACATATATCTTCCTCCAAATGTTTGTCTGTGTCCGGTTTCTCCTGTTAATTCTTACACTTCGTCTTCCCCTTTGCTTTGAGTTTCTCTGCTTCACACAGAAATTGTCACAGCTATAAACCATCTCATTCTCAGATGTTTTTATGAACATTTCTATAAGTCTGCGAGTTCATCGGACGTTGGGAAAAGGCTATTTTTTTGCTGCCGAAAAATAAATTTGCATACCCCAAACAGATCATTAGTGAAAGTAGTAATAGTTTCTCCTATAAATACTTTGTCCCAATTAACTTTGCTCATAAAAATATGCCCTTTCTGTTTTATTTCATGGGTTTGTGAGCTAACAGATGCCTTGGCCTGTCCAAAAAGGGGGCATGACGAAATATTGGCTGGAATCTTTGCAGCTGACTGACTGGAATGTCCTAGCCATTAAATATTAACACATATTATTAACGTGTATTATTGAATAGTCACGACTAATTGTAGTCCTGTGTGTTTGTATAACTTTCTAATGTTTATTAAAAAAAGACACCATTAAAAACCAATAATCCTGTTTATCAAACCAGAACAATATGGTTATGTTAGTCTGAGGAAACATCAAAAACTGATTTGCTTGTTTGAAAGTACACATGTCCTGTGCAGAAATAGGTCGCAGCTAATAAACAATAGCGAATTGTGCGCGTGGCACGTCATCGATCTGAGTGCTGTGGGTAATTTGTGTGTTATTGCATTCGTTTGAGCTTGTACTCTATTTCCAGAGTATGTCCATTGACGCTGCTGCGGGGAAGAGAGTTTCCTTCTGGCATACAATAAACGACGTCCCTTGCGGCAATTGATTCCTAGGTGCTGACTAGGTATATAAAGACTGCAGCAAAACTAATTTACCCCCACATGTCTGTCCTGTGGGAAGCACTTCCGGTGAGGGTTTTGCACGTGCTGGTCTCTTCAAAAGGGATACACAGGCTCTTCTGTTTCTACGGCAACTCAATCTTTTGGTTCAGGTCTAATGTCCGAGCTGTAGGCATGAAATTGGAAATCAGTCTCTTACAGAGATTCTTCTGCATCCACAATCGTCTGATGTTGCCTGTTTGCACTTATGACACTGCAGTAAACATTTTCCCCAAACCGCAAGTGGAACCTGCAATTATTCTTGATTTCCGATCCAGCTCGCATCGTCAGTGTTTTAATTTTCATGCTGGTGCTATTTGGGAATCCTTGAAGTGAGCGAATAAAAATGGAAATTATACTTGTTACTTGTATTTACGGGGGCATACTGATAAAAGTTAATTTTGCTTTTTTGGGACACAAACACGTACGTGGTTTAGAGGTCTGCACTCGTGCGGCTCATGTTCATGTTTGAATGCGGGAGCAGGCGTGAGGTTTAAGGGAGCGGGAAATTAGAAATTACTCACAGTATCCCGCAAAACGAATTACAATAAAAATATCTCCAATACGTTTTATTTTATGAAGCCGCTATTCATGTTCGTGAGTAAACATAAAGTTGCATTAAATAAATTAGTTATAAATTTCAAAAAATGAGCTACTATGTCTGACTTGGTTGTTACAGCTAATGATGGCAGCGCGAAAATCTTTAACGTCTGAGGATTTAAGTGCCTTCTGAAGTAAAGGTAAATATAAAACTCATTATAAGTACGGGAAATCCGATATTTTCCAGTCATTTTCCATTGTAAGCGACGACGATGGGAATCGCTATTTCGAAGCTGATATTCACTGCAAACGCAGGCAAATCAAAAGTGACCATTGCCACCGCGCAAAAAATGCACGACCTTCCCTTATCAAATCTTGCTCCTCTTTTATTGGGCTAAAGCAAGTGTTTTGGTACGAGGAATTAGTCCATATTTTCTATATTTTGTACCATAAAACATTTAGGGTAGGTCTGATACTTGAGTTAAACATTTTTATTATAAATGGATAGTTTAATGAGGCTTGTATTTATTATACACAATACCACAATACTGTAAAGCGCGTACAGATCAACATATGACGGCCGTAGTGGAGTTAGGTCAGCACTGCGCGTCCTTCGGCACCATCCCTACAAATGTGTTGGGAGGAATAAGTAGGCCTATATCTGATTTCAAAACATCCTTTCATATCTACACAAAGTAGGCCTATATAAATTGCTTCTGGAGATATTCAGACATGCAAATTTGCGGCAGGGACCTTCAAAGGTTATTTAGATTTAATAGAAATCAGGGATGCAAACCTTTCTCGGTGCTTTTATCAGATGCGCCTTTGTAGATAAAAGAAAATGCCCTATATACGAAGCTGAAAGGTTAGCGATCAAGAAGACTGGAGTGCAGAAGAGAAACGCCACATGGAAGCCATAACGGTGGGTGAATGACAGTCGAGACTCGGTGGCTGCCCGAAATCGTGGTGAGTGATTTGCTGAGCGATGTAATTAATGCGCGTCTCCAAAACACTCCGTCTGAAGTGCGTCTCTAAATCCAGCGTTACGTCCGCCGCCGGTTCTGAGGTCAAGCGTGCGCCTCAGACCGGTTTGAACCAGTCAGTCTACCGGGGAGCCCCCACCCCACTTCATGGTTTTCTGAAATTAATCGAGCAATTCCTCACCATACCTAAATACAGACACTCACAAGGTTGCCAGCTCTCACGCACCTGGCGTGGCACGCAGGAAATCTTACGGCAAATTTACACTAGGCCTATTCATTATAAACCTAAAGACACAGACGATTTACAAGGTAATAAAACTGTCACAGGAATATAAATGAGTGTGCATGTGTGTGCAGGTTTGAATCGAAGATGTCACACCAACCCGTTGACCAATTTGGCAACCCTGAAATCGAGCAGGTCCTCATCATGTCTAAACGCAGACAAGCACACCAGCGCTCAGATTTTTTCTTTTTGATCGCAGACCTCATTTGGACAGGATGAACTGAGTGGCAGGAACAGCTATGAAGATATACCGCAAATGAATAAACGGGAAACCGCGAAAAGGGCAGCGGTTCACAGCTCAGATTTCATATATATGCAGAACAAAATGTGTTAGATATTTTGCGTGTAAGAAAGAGGAAGCTCTATTAATTAAATGAAAAATTACCTGGAAAAATTGCACTTGGAGCCTATCATAGGCAGGCATGTAATACCAGTCATGATCTTTATTAGTATTATTGTTGTTGTTGTTCATAAATAAAAACAAATGCAGAGAAACATACAGTACAAACAAACAATACAGTGCATACAGCAGTCCTAATTACAGGGCAACAGCTGCAGATTGTTCTTGAAAGTGGGTTTATGTGAGGATGTATTACGTCGCTGATTTAGTATTATTATCTAAATATTAAATTAAATATTTATTTATTTCTCAAACACCACAACATTCTGTTGTCAGGATACTCTGTTTGTGTACTCCGTATATTTTTGTATTTGCTTGCACATACGTTAATTTGTGTGCACGTTGTCTGCTTTGCACTATACGAATGTTTGCCTATGCACCATATTATCACTGCTGTGTGCATCAGAATTCGCACTGGGATCAATAAAGTCTATATTAATCTTAATCTTAAAAATAATTATACGCAGTGCTTGAAGTGGGAAAAAATAAGTGCAGGAACTCTAATTTTCTCGGGCCACTGTCGCTGCGTCGGATCAGTTTCAGTAAGTACCGGAACGCAGAAAAAAGTGGCGGAACCCAAAAGACGAAAACTGCGTTCCGGCCCACTTCAAGCACTGATTATACGTGTAATGTTTTGTGAAGTGCAAAGGTGTAAAATAGGCCTACTATAGAAGCAGTGTAATCCTCCCTATGAGAGATACATAGGCTGTACACCTTTTAAGTTTAAAGACCCAGTCAGCAGTTTCAGTAGTTACACACAGTACATGGGCACTAACGGAGAGATTATGGCTTTGTAATGGGCGGGGAAATTGGCTGTCACTAATGACGGGTCTGCGTGTTTGTTTGACGCACGCAGTGGCGCGAAAGTCCCGTGTTCTGATAGCACTCCGTGGCTCGGCGGGAATCACGTTCCTGCTGTCTCTTCTACAAAGTAAATCGGTGGTGGAAAAAATTGCAGTAAATGTGCGCGAGTCAAACAAGTATGTAATAATGTCCCTGTTAGGGGGTTGTGATGTTCAGAGGCAAAAAAGCGGAAGATGAGCGAAAAATGTGATTTCAAAGAGACGGCTTGTGTTTGGCTACCATCTCTCTCTCTATTCAGTGCTATTTGATGTGTGTTTCTTGTTTTACGCCGGAAATGTCCTACCTGCAGCTTGGTATTCATAAGGGAACTAATGCAACCCTGTGTTTTTGTTTAATGCATGTATTCTTGTTTTTGCCGACTTCTAATAGACGCCAAAGAAAACAGTCTTTGTAGTCATTTTATTGAAGTATACTGCGCCAAAATTTTGTGACTGGGATTGTGCCTGAGCTTAAAAGAGTTGAATTAGCTGCTCGCTATTCAGCCCACAGGAGAATTACCGTCCCCAACTTTTTCCATTGGCTACCTCATCAAGAACATGCACTTGATGAATAAAACAAGAATTCTATTGTCAAAACACAGTGTAGAGTTCGGCCATGCCGAATAGAATGAAGGGAACAGAGGAGCAGACAATGGAATGTGATTTTGGGCTGGTGTTATTATAGATAGACATAATAATGAACAGACACAATAACGAATCGACATATAATGGATACAAAACACTGGTGATAGACTTCAGAAGTGTCCCAGGCCAAAAGAGTAATCAAAACACAGGCTAAGTAATCGCTGAGTGGAAACAAAGATGAAAGCTCCTTAACTAACAAAATATAAAAATAATTATTGGCCAAAATAATAGATTATCAGATGAACAGTGTGTGTTTCTGGGAAATTATTATTTGTATTTTTTTTTCTCTTTTTTCCTGATTTGGGTTCCTTGCACCCTATATTGATTCAGAAAGGCTCCTGCTGGTTTGAAAAACCAATTAGATACCAATTAGATACAACTAAACTATTCACAAGATTATTCAAGTAGGTCTGTGTAATTATTCATGAAAATTATCCATTGGCTATATTAACATACCTGGCAAAATACACTTGTCTTGCATTTTGCAGGAAAAATATGGGGGTGATTGTGCCAGTGATCTGAGGAGGGAGATGGAAGATCTGGAGGTTTCCTCACCAGAATTTCCTCACAAATACAACTTCTGTTCAATCTATGGACAGAAAGGATCTGCATCTGGTGCATGATGTTACGACGAGCTGCTTCACATCCAGCCTGGGTATTTTGTCTTAAAGTTTTTTCAACAAGTCGCAGAGGAAGTTAAGGCTTCTTGAATGTTACATCTTCTGACCCAGGAACTCCTTCAGCGGACAGATAAGGTCATCGTTTGATCCTTCCTCCAACGCCTGTTTTTAAAAGTTAGTGTTTCAATCCGCAAGGTGATGTGTATATATACTCCAGCCAGAGACATTGTTAAAAATAAAAGATTCTAACATCGTTTTTTTAAAAAGTAACCCCAAGGGGACTGCAAGCAAGTGTGTTTTAGTTGAGGTATATAGTGCATGGTTTTGCTCAGGCTTAGTCAGTGCAATTTGACTTTTCTAAACTCGAACGCTTCCTGTGGTTGCGAACATGGTGCATGCAAATCAGATTGACCCATGGCCCAGCTTAGTGTCACATGTGATTTAATAATACCCGCATCTTAGGTGTTTGTAATTCCTGAAAGTGTAGTAAAGT